TCGATTGAGCCTGGTGGAGCAAAATTGAAATTTTGAACCACCCCTTTTGATTGTTGATGTAGAGGTTTTCCAAGCGGCATGCATACCCTTCTTTGTAAAAAGAGTAAAAACTCAACATTATTTCCAATGAAGACAAAAATTGACACATTGCCAGCTTTAATACCAAACTGTGATTGTAAGAAGCATTTTATTATTTATTTTTTAAATTATGCTTTTCCTGGCAATATTTTTCAAGGTTTTTACACTGAGCAGTTATAAAAAAGCACCGTCTCTTTTTTGACAAATATAGCCTTTCCCTCTATACTGGCTTAATGGTTTTATCTGTTTTTTCAGGATTCATCTAAACAATCAGAAAAAAGTCAAAAAATGTTCTGTTTCAAAATGATTGGTGGCCATTTAATGGCCATTTCTGAAGCTGAATTCAGTTTCAATTAAAAACATTTGACTTATTTTCCAAAATTCACAGATTTTACGAAGCAATAACCCAACTAACAATTTTAGCTGCAGACTAGCTTACACAGCCGAAAATTGCCTTATGCAGTTAATTTTTGTCTGTATAAGCTGATCTGCAGCTAAAATTGTTTGTTGGGAACAATCGATGTTGTGTTCTTGCACAAATTTCTTCATTTTAGTATTAAGTAGGCAGAGCTAGTGAAAACAGGATCTGGATTTATTCAGCAGCTCAGCATTAGAGTGGGCGTGAAGATATTTTTTAAGATAACAATTCGTGGAAACATGATACCAGTTGATACTCTTCGCTGCCATCGTAGCAATGGATAAACATACCAAGTATCATTCCAAGTTTTATCGTGGTTGTATAGCATTCTACAAGACTAAATAATGGTCTTCAGAACCCTTGTAAAACCCAAATTGTTTCATGGGATTCCATCGTTGCCGCAGCAACGAAAGTCATTTCTTATGTTTACCAGATTTTTTGCTGGAAATATTTTGAGGACTTTCACCTCACTTGAACCAGCACTTTTTGTAGCCTCAGCCTTACCAGCAAAGGCCGAATCTCACGAATCACTTGCTGAACTTGAATTGAATTGCTTCCTTACATACTCGATAGTTATCTGTGTCGTTGTAATGTCCCCAGGGCCGCAATGAGCGCTTTGTCTGAATTTGGAGCTTCCTCCTGCATGCCCTCACTGTTGGTTGACGCATAACTGTCCCATGTACTGTGGAATTTCCATATAACATGGGACAATTGGAAGTCAAAATTTAAGGAAATGGATTGGGCTTTTCGTTAAAAATATTTTCAAGGTTAAACACTCACGAAGAACATCTCAAAAGGGTGAAAGTTGTGTTTTAATAATAACACCATTTCAAAGATATTCTATTACTGTAGATAGTATTTTGGAAAATAGTACTTTTTTCAATAATTCATAACTTTTTTGTTTATGAGTTGCCCAGCAAACGTACATTGTCAATAATTAGCACACTTGTCCGCAACTTCGCGGAAGACACCATCTCGATCGAACAAATCGTTCGCGAGATATATTGTTTTCTATTTATGCGTATCATTTTAGCATAAGCCCTTTTCAACTGTTAGTCGTGTACAAAACTAGGGAACCAAATATGTAAAATGACATTGGACCAAGGGGTAAGTCACTCAGCACATTGTGCCTGAATTATATTCTACACAGCTTGGGCACATCCATCGGCACATTTTCGGTATACCTTTGGCACAATCTCCTAGGCATTAGATTGTAGTGAATAAAATGGGAGCACTGCTGGACAACTATCATTGAAGTTGTTCAGAACATTACGTGCTGTTTGACTGTATGTTCAGGAACATCTTCTAATTGAATATACCAGAGGAACTCAGACCAGCAGTTCACTTATAGATCTAAATACGAAATGTAGGTTCTAGAGTGGACTCAAGACAAACAAACTAAAGAAGTCTATTCATCACCCTCTATAGTCGGTCTCTAACAATGCTCCCCACCGGTTTCAACTCTTTCCAGCCGAAAGGCTAGATTTCTAGGCTGCCTTTAAGGGCATATAAAACACTAAAATACAGAACTTTTATTACCCTATGGATTACAAAACACCGAAAGTTCACACACCCGCCACTTTCCGCGTCATCCTCAATCCGATTTATCCTTGCGATTTCAAACCAAAACATTCAAGGTGTCAGAAATACCGGGTTGCCGGGATGGGTATTTTACAAACAATCGTAGCTTGCTCTATGACCGGCACAATCGGCATACTTGGGGCACACTGAAAAAAAAGATGACCCAAGATTGGTGTGCGGAGTGACCTACCCCTTGCATTGGACAGTAATAAACAACTGTGTAAAATAACAAGTAATTCTTTAAATATCGATCCGAAACGATTTGGGAATCTGTGTGGAACTACTCACGAGTAAGACTAGCTCAGTCCATGATGATGAATTGAAAAGTATATTGAATCTATTGCATAATTTTTCCATGAGGATGCTTTGGTTTAGCAAAGCAAGATCTAAAATTGATTTCTAAAAAAAATACTTCATCATTCCTAACGCTTTGCTTCTCTTAGCAAGTTATATAGATCCATACTAATAATAAGAATATTGTTCTCTGTTTCTGTTTCTGAAGAACTCAATTTCACTCGGTTATTAGGGTTTTACTGCATGAATAGAAGCTTGATTATTGTTGTGTGTTTATTTTGATGGTACTAGATTCAAATAGTATATAACAAAAAAAAATGCATCTTCCGATATTCATATTAAATCCTTCCCATTCATCACAACACTAAAGAAGTAGAAGTAGCCTTATGTTATACAAAAGATATCTTTGTTAAATTTGCTGAAAATTATGAAAACATAACCTTTTCTTCTATAAACCAAAGCCTACTAGAACACTGCCATTAAATAAGTAAGAACCATATGTCAGACCAGAAGATGATTAATCAAACCTGTGCTGAGTGTAAAAAAAACTGGATACAATCAAACACTGCAATGCCACATTCTTTTGACAGCAGTTGTCTATTCAGCCCACTTCCTTACAACCACGGACGGGAATACAGTCAAGCTAAAAGTAGGAACTCTTTTAAACCGTTTCGTAATCAGTTGTGTTCACCTTCGGTCCGGGAAGGTAACCATCATCATCGTCATCATCATCGTCATCGTCATCACCATCATCACCATCATCACCATCATCATATCCGCACCAGGCCGAATACGCCAAGGAAAGTTCATTCCAATCGCCAGGCATGCCCCTCTTGCAACATCGGATAACTATGAGCCGACGGCAAAACAAAACAAAAAATATGCGCGAATAAACGCGAATGCACGTATAAATAAATTTATATATTTGGATTGCAAATGAATACGCGAAGCGGCTGCACGTTGTTGGGCAAAAATGAAGGGGGACCGTATAAAGAGATTGTGAAGTGATAACACCTTAAGATCGACGTCTTTTATTTTATCCCAGCGACGACAGTTTATATTCTTCATGCCATCGTTGGATTGACTTTAGCAAAGGGGCCACGTTGCGTTGGTTATGCATGGCTTGCTATGCGTTCATATTATCCAAGGAATCGGACTTTAGGGAGTGAGAGAGCATTTTTTGGATTTCGAACTGGTTATGTCATTGGCTGCTTTGTGCGACTGTGTGATGCGGCCTTCAGAAACCTGATACAGGCAAATAATCGCCATTGAGCATATTTCAGCGGCGGTATGATCACCATATAAAACGCACCATTTCTATATATGTACATGCGGAGCTTAAGCTCACGATAATTCATCAAGATTAAGTACACCTTGACCGGCAGGGCACCAACTCCAGTAGTTCCGTTCAAAATTTTATCTGTCTTGTAATTACGCAAGGATCGATGATCACAACTTATTTACACACGTTCTTTGGCTCTGCTCAACTGACCAAACACACAAATTCGCGTAAAAACAGCGTAATTTCATGCATCCTTCCCATCCCTCCCTATCGTTCCTTCGAATTCAAGGGGGCAACATAAAAATTTCATCGATATTTTATTCAGCAACGGAAGGCATCATCGTCGTTTTGGAACTCGATAGATTCCCGAGAGATCCTCATTCACCAGAAGCCGATGAGTTACGGCCCAATCCTTGAGGCTAAATTAGCATGTGTTGCGAGCTCACCCCCAAATCATCGTCGGTTGCGTTGCTTCCCCCATCGTATCCATCAGTGGTCGATCATCGTTGTATCCCTCCTGCCTTTCGTTTCAGTAGTAGGTATCTACAGAGTGAGGTGCTTCCGTCCGTTACCTTCAGGTGCCTGCTCTGCTCGCATCGAAACCAGGTAGCAAATGTTGTATGTAAATTGTCCTAATTATATTCAAATTGCACATTAGACCGCAGGCTGGACTCTTACGGATCAGTTACGATCAATTTTAATCAATTTGAACCTGCCACTGTAAAATTCTGTCACTGTTCAAAATCAAATGTGATACATAAAAAAATAGAACACAAAAAGCAACATTAGCTCTTATATTTACTCGCCCAGCATACATAATTTGCCTCTCACCTCCTTCTGCATCCAATCAATAATTCCTTTTTCCTCGATCAACGCCAAATCGATCGCAGTGAACAGTGCCAAACATACACAAGGCCTACTATGGATCTATTGAATATTGCACACCTTACTCTCTGCAACTTCCACGAATAGATCATTGGAATAATTGTAATTAATTTAATTACACATTAACGCCGGCAAAGATCAAAGCCCTGACGATCTGGATCGTGGTCGATTCATTTGAATTTCTGTCGATTCCGTTCTCAAACCTGGCACGATCGTACCACTATTTGATCTGCGCATTACCACTCCAAACCAACCAACCGAAACCGGCTGGTGCACACACATGAGCCCGACGTCCCCGCTACTAATAATTCCAGTGTGCGTTCAAATTGATCCTTTATGGCTACGGCTGTTACCTGCGATCATCCGTCGCAGCACTCTTCGCCAAGAAGATTAAACCATTACTAATAGTTCTCTCGTTTTTTTTTTTCTATTTTCTCCCCGCACCGACCGTGCTAATTACAGGTATCCGCTACCGATCCGGACTGTGGCGTCAATGCGATGGTAAATTACACCCTCGGCGAAGGTTACAAGAAGATCACGGAGTTTGAAATACGTTCGAGCACTGGCGAGGTGTGCATCGCCGCCGAGCTGGACTACGAGACGCGCAATTCGTACGAGTTTCCGATCATCGCCACCGATCGAGGTAGGTTTTGCAACTCAACTATTAACAGTTTAAATCGCCGTTTAAATATCTGCGAGAGTTGGAGAAAATTTCCCTCCTCACTAATCAAAGTCAACCGGGCACGGGCGTTTGTAAGCGACATGGCAGTGCATAATCCAAGCAACCTGGTTAATAGTGCTTGAAATTTTAAATAAAACTCGCAATCGAAACGTCACAATTGAACCTGAATATAAACTTCCGATAAGAATACCTCAATCAAATTCTCAATCATAATTCTCGTTTCTTGTGTACAAGGGGAATAACTGGGAAAACTGGTTGATCAAATTTCATGATTCAATAGAACTTAGAAAAATTAAAAAAATGAGACTTTGTTAATTATTTAAAATGTTGAACTTCTGAAAAATAATATAAATTTTGGAATTCATTTTGTTACGATTGAAAAATTTTCATAACTGGGGAGTTTTCTATGCCAACCATGAAAATGTATATTGTGTGTGAAATTACAATAATACTCTATGGTCAGGAAAGTCTAGAAGCTGTCAAATTCCCTCATGCAGGTTGGATCAGAGTCATACGAGCATTTCCACCCTAAATTAAGAATCGATCTGATGCGACCATCTCCGATTTGCATAAAACTATGCATGATTGAATCCCGATGAGTGTGGGCGTCTTAGTGGAATACCGGTATAAAGAGAGACATTTATATGCATATGCATATAATGCAGAATTCTAGTCATCATCTCCATAATAGTCTCTTCAAAATTACCTTAGAAATCATCTGTAGTTCTCCTAACATTTTTCTTTAAAAACTACACTGAAATTTGTTGTCGAATTTCATTGAAAATATCCCCATAAATCCATTTGAGACAGAGATCCGAAATGTTTGACAAAGTTGTAGATGCTACTTTCCTGAAGGAAACAATTTTATATCTCCAATGGTTCACGATTTACATATATATGTTTTCAATATGTAATATAGGGTGACTCCTAAAAAATCAGTTTTTCTAGAGTAACTTTAAATCATCTAAACATTTTAAAATTACGTATTTTTCCTTGAAAGTCCTTTATTAATTTTCATAAAAATTAGATAGCAACTTAGTTGCTTCAACTAAAATGTGCACCATAAAAATGAAAAAAAAGTCTAGAACATGTATTTTACGAGAAATCAATGTATAAAATGTTACTGTTGAAAACGCGATCTTTTGAGCCACCCTAAGTTAACTTTTAACAATCATGAAGCATTACAGATACAAAATTGCGTTTTTTCTGCAAAGTTGATTCAAATGTCATACTAGTCCATCTCGAATAACTAAAAACTTCACATTTGGAACTCATCAACTCTATGGACCACCCTAATGTTTTGCACATAAACAAAACTGGCCAAACAAAATTGAAAAACTTTCCAGAAGACACTTTATACCTAACTGTGTAATGCAGAGTACAAAAAGTGTGTCCCTAGTCGAAGAGCCATGATACTTTCAGTTTAAATCTGATATCTCTAAAATAGGCCAGTAAAAAATCTTTCTTCAAGAGTTCAAGAATGTAAAATACTGGCCTTGTCTCAAAATATTGAACATTTTGTTACGTTATCTTCAAAAAATATCCTTAATTTTCAGAGCATTCAAATGTTATTTCTTAGATAACTTTTTTTAATAGAAGAGGGACGGGGGTTTCTCCGGTTTTCTGCATTTAAATTGCTGAATTGCATCCATTGCTGACATCAATCATGCCGGTATTTCGTTTTTACCATATTTAGCTGTTTTTATGAAACTTTCCGGGCATTTTCATAAATTCAGTGGCTACCCTGCGTTAATCCAATGAAGACTGGAGTAATCGAACAAAAAATTGCACCATAACAGCAAATTTTGATATCAATTTGATCTCCAACTTAGCTCGGGAAGGTTACCATTCTAACAAACAATTTTAGCTGTATAACTAGTAAAAATTGGCTTATTCAGCTAAAAACAAACTTATTCAGCTTTAAACCAGCTCAATTGATCAGGAATAGTCCCCTGGTATCTTATGACCAATTCGCCTTGATGAAGTGCTCAGTTTCACATATAACTCTGAACTCTGAATAAGTAGAGCTCATTTGGTTTAAAATTGGTCAATACCATCTTTTATGAACAATTCGAAAAGTTGATTAATTTTCATGAAAATTTATGTATTCATTCCCAAAGAATTGGAAATTGCAGATGTGTAATTAAATTACGAGTTTTCTACTTTCAAAACATTCGAATTCGACCCGTACTAACCGACCATCATATCCCTCGACAGGTGGCCTCAGCACGACAGCAATGGTCAAAATTCAACTAACCGATGTGAACGACAACCGGCCGACCTTCTACCCCCGCGAGTATAACGTTTCCCTGCGCGAATCGATGCCCACCAACTCACTGCTATCGACGCCGGTCGTGGTGATTGTGGCCACCGATTCCGACTCGGGAAGCTTCGGTACCATCAGCTATCGGATAGTGGCCGGCAACGAGGCGGGCATCTTCCGAATGGATCGGCTAACCGGTGAGATCTTCGTTGCCCGTCCAAATATGCTGTCCAGCAGAAGTCAACCGTACCATCGACTGAACATCTCCGCCAGCGATGGAGGAGGCTTGCGCTCAACGCACGACGCAGAAGTATTTATCAGCGTGATCGATGCGACACAACGACCACCGATATTTGACAAGCCACGGTACACATACTATGTAAAGGAAGACGTCAAAAAGAATACCGTTGTCGGAACGGTGTCTGCCACTAGCAGTAATTCAGGTTCGTATCTAAAATCAAACCTAATTTATCAAATGACTCAACCAAACACTCAAATTCCAGGAAGCCGAGGTTCCATACGGTACTTCATCTATTCTGGTGACCCGGATGGCTACTTTGCGATCGATCCTGTTTCCGGAAACATACGAGTAGCAAGCACACTGGATCACGAAACGAAACCACAAGTGCTACTCAACATCCAAGCTACCAGTGGTGATCCACCGGCATATGGCCACACCCAGGTCAACATCGATATCGAAGACGTCAACGATAACCCACCGGAGTTTGAGTCGAACATAGTTCGAATATCTGTGCCGGAAAACGTCGAAATTGGATCGCCACTGTATGCGGCTAATGCCCACGACAAGGACTCCGGAATGAGTGGTGTAATCACCTATCGTCTGAGCAACAATGGACCGACAACGGGAAATCTCTTCAGCATAGCCGGTCGTAGTGGTCACCTAAGTTTGGCACGACCGCTGGATTACGAAACTGTGCAACGACATACGTTGATTGTGACCGCTTCCGACTCGGGAATACCCTCGCTATCTACGAATCTCACCATCCTAGTGGAAGTGCAGGACGTCAACGATAATGCACCGGTCTTTGAACGGAATGAGTATTCGATCAAGGTTTCGGAATCAACGCCCAGTAACTCACAGGTAAGATTACCGTTTATTCCAAATCATCCAGATTCATCAACACATCTCGTTTCTCTCACAGGTCCTGCAGGTAACGGCCGTCGATGCAGACACTGGAAACAACGCACGCTTGACCTATCGAATCTTGGGGGATGATCAACGAGCACGCTCCGGTAAAGCCACCTCCAAAAATTCCGACGCCAGTATTCCGGAAATTTTCGGCATCTTTCCAAATAGTGGTTGGATTTACCTTCGCACGAAACTCGACCGCGAGGACCAAGAACGTTACAACATAACGGTGATCGTTAGTGACAACGGAGTTCCCACGTTGACTGCCACCACCCACGTGATCGTCAGTGTCCTGGACGCGAATGACAACAATCCGATCTTTGCCAAACAACTGTACCAATTCGAGATCGAAGAGAACATGCGAAGGGGATCAGTCATTGGATTAATTACGGCAACCGATGCCGATGCGGGAATCAATGCAGTTGTTCGATACAGTCTAATTCCTAGCAATACAAGCTTTCAAGTTAACCCTGTATCAGGTAAGCTACTATATATCAAAAATTTCCATTCAAAATCACCAACCTATCTTCTTCAAATCAGGTGAAATTACCACACGTGACAGTTTGGATCGGGAAACAAAATCCAACTACGACCTGGTGGTAGAAGCTCGTGATCAAGGAACTCCCTACCGGAGCTCACGGGTCTCAATCAAAATCAAAATTCTCGACGTCAACGACAACTCTCCGGAGATCGTCGATCCCCAGGAGGATGTAGTAAGTGTTCGTGAAGAACAACCGATAGGAACCGAAGTCGTGCGCGTTCGGGCAATCGATCGTGACTTTGGTGTCAACGCGTCGATCACGTATTCAATCCTCAAGGGGCGCGACTCCGACGGGCATGGTATGTTCTCGATCGATCCCATCACAGGGGTTATCCGGACAAAGGCTTCACTGGATCATGAGGAGAAAACGATCTACCGCTTGGCGGTGGCTGCTACCGATAACGGAAAACCTCCCAGACAAACTGTTCGTCTACTGAGGATCGAAGTGCTAGACTTGAATGACAATCGACCTACCTTCACCAGTTCCAGTTTAGTCTTCAGAGTAAGTATTGACATAAGGTGTAAGGAAAGAATACAATCCTAACCATCGTTTTTTTTTTCTACAGCTCCGTGAGGATGTCGGCGTTGGTCATGTAATTGGATCCATCAGTGGTAGTGAGCAGTCCGATTCAGAAAATCTCATTACCAGTACAAACGATCTGCATATCACCTACACGTTAACTCCCCTCACAAACGACATCACTGAAGGGGCTTTCGATATTGACCGCAACTCTGGCAAGTTGGTCGTTGCACGATCACTCGACCGTGAACAGCAAAGTGAGTATCGGATGGAGATCCGTGCTTTGGATACCAGTGCGAGTAACAACCCTCAAAGTTCGGCTGTAACGGTCAAGATCGAGATAGCCGACGTCAATGACAATCAACCGAAATGGCCCAGCGATCCGATCAATGTCTACATTTCGGAAGATGTCACAGTAGGATCGGTTGTATTTAACTTCACTGCTACGGATAACGACTCCGGAACGAACGCCGAGATCAAGTACAATCTCTCCAAACCTACCACTCCGCATAAGGAACTCTTTTCGATTGATTCACTAACGGGCTCGTTGACTCTGCTTGCACCCCTGGATTATGAAGAAACCAAAGAATTCCTACTGATAGTTCAGGCAACGGATCAATCTTCCAATGTTACCGAAAGAATGACCACTTCCGCCACTGCCAGAATAATGGTCACGGATGTAAATGATAATGCACCAAGCTTCGTAGTTCCGCAAGCTCAGGATACGACCGTCTATATCAGCGATTCGTTGGATGTCAATCAAGTTGTTTCACATGTTGTGGCCATCGATCGCGATAGTGGGGAAAATGGCCGTGTTGTCTATAAGTTCGTTAGCGGCAACGAAGACGAACGTTTTAAAATCGATCCAGATACGGGTTTCATCAGACTGGCCAAGCCATTTAGCAGCAACTTCATTGCCGATAACTCCAAGAATTCGGTAACTGGCCGATACAATTTGGTAATCAGTGCTTCCGACCAAGGTGTTCCACGGTCCAAAGAAGCGAAGATCACTATTCAAGTGGTAATTCAAAATACGAGTAACAATCCACCGAGGTTTTTGGAATCCGTGTACCATATCAACATAACGGAGAATGTCCCTACCGGAAGCTTTGTCGTACGAGTATCAGCTAAATCCTTCAACGACAACGGTAATGCCAATCTGACCTATGAAATTCCCAAAGGCGTGGGCGATGATCACTTCGTTGTGGACTCGATCCGAGGGATTGTTACTACCCGAGGGGCATTTGATCGCGAATCCAAAGACATGTACACGATCCCAATCTACGTTACGGAACAGAACCGATTCAAAAGTGCAGCGTCGGGAACCTCCAAGGACATGAGTCAATTCGATGTCGCCACCTTGGTTGTGAGGATCACAGATGTGAACGATCATGCCCCGGAGTTTCTGCCAGGATCGTGCTATCCACTGGCCGTACCGGAGAATAGTGAACTTTCTGTGATTCACACTGTTGTGGCGAGCGACGCGGATGAAGGTCTCAATGGCGAGATTACGTATAGTATTTCTGGTAAGTTGTATATTTGCTAATGATCGTTAGGTGATCGAATCTAATTATTGTTGCTTTTATAGGTGGAAATATTGGCAACAAGTTCAGCATCGACATGAATACTGGAGCTCTGACGGCTCGTCCGTTGGATCGAGAGATTCATGCAAGGTACGTACTGCAAGTCACAGCACAAGATCGAGGATCCCCAACGTCCCATCAAGGTCACTGCAACATCACCATTCGCGTCGAAGATGAGAATGACAATGATCCAAAGTTTGAGCTGCAAAAGTACATTGCCACGATCGACGAAGATGCGTCCATTGGCACGACCGTCCTAACGGTCAAAGCCATTGACGCGGACATTGGAATCAACGCTAGGATCATTTACTCGTTGGCTAATGTTACCGAGTGGCTGTTTGATATCGACAGTAAAAGTGGAGTTATTACAACGGCGGGGTAAGTTTTCGATCGTAAAATTCTTGAAACGCAGTTCTAATTATCTTCCTTTGCTTACAGCCATTTCGATCGCGAAAGACAGAGCATTTACAATTTCATGGTCGTTGCAACGGATGGTGGACGATACAACGCTCGCTTCCAAAGCGTCCAAATTCAAGTGATCATCGCAGACGTCAACGACAACAAACCGGTCTTCGATAAATACCCCTTCAAAGAACAAATTGGAGCTCTGGTTCAGCCAGGACAGACCTTGCTCCATATTTCCGCAACGGATGCTGATCAGGGCAGCAATGGAGAGATCGTATACAGCCTAAACGACAATCCGAACAATGCCAAGTTTCGGATCAACCCAAATACGGGAGCTCTCAGTGCAACACAGTCTCTGGCCAGTGAAAATGGTCGCCTGCTGCACATTGAAGTTACGGCAAGAGACAAGGGAAATCCTCCGCAGATTGCTACAGGACTGATTGAGCTTCGCGTTGGTGATCTGCAGCAGGAGCTTCCAGCTCTTAAATTCCAGAACAGCTCGTACAAAGTGAACCTTGTCGAGAACACTCCCATTGGTCAAACAGTGCTTCATCTGAATGCAGTTCGCAGTGATGGTCGTCGACAGAAGATCATCTACAGCTTTGGATCCGGCAACGAAGATGGCACGTTTTCGATTGACGCCGTTACTGGGGAGGTGAAGATTCGTAACTCGCATAACCTGGATTACGAGCGGTTCAGCCGGTTGAACACGGAAGGAATCGAGCTGGTTGCAGTTGCTCGTACCGATGGCAGTCCTCTACTGTACGGATACTGCTCGATCAAGATTGTTCTGCAGGACGAAAACGATAATGCCCCAAGGTTTACCCAGCAGCAATATTCGGCATCAGTTTGGGAAGGGAACAACAAAGGTGAATTCGTTATCAAGGTAAACGCCTTCGATACGGACCAGGGATCGAATGCTCATATTCTGTATCACATTGTGGATGGAAATCACGACAACGCCTTCATCATCGAGCCTGCATTCAGTGGAATCGTCAAAACGAACATTGTGCTTGATCGGGAAATTCGAGATAAATACAAGTTGAAGGTGATCGCTACCGATGAAGGAGTGCCACAGATGACAGGTACCGCAACGATCAACGTAAATGTGGTGGATGTAAACGACAATCAACCGACGTTCCCACCCAACAGTGTCATTAGCGTTAGTGAAGGTAATTGTTTTCAGCCTTTGACGATCTTATGCAAGATATTTATATACGATCATTTTCATTACAGCGACTACCGTTGGTACAGTTCTTACGACGATCACCGCCAATGACGTGGACACAAATCCACCGTTGACGTACAGTTTCGGTGACAGCCCCGACGAAGATGCAAAGCTATACTTTTCCATCGATCGATACAGCGGAAAAGTTATCTTGATCAAACCTTTGGACTACGAAGCTCGTCACGAGTATCAACTGAGGATATTGGCATCCGACTCTGCTCATGTAGCTCGTACTTTGCTAACGGTTCGGGTAACTGACGTCAACGATAATCCTCCTGTATTCCAACAAATTACTTACCATGCTATGCTGAACGGTATGTGTTACATTTACGAAAAAACAAATTACATTTTTAACACTTTGACCTGATTGCAGACGACACGGAGAGCAACAACAACATCGCGATCATAGCAGTTAACGCTACGGACAGCGACAGTGAAAACAACGCCGCCATTCGATACACGATCAATCCACCGTCGACAGGCTTCGCGATCGATGAACTCACCGGGCAGCTGTTTGTCAACATGAGTCAGGTGCACAAAACTCGTTCCGGAACGTTGTATCTCACCGTCACGGCTACCGATTCGGGACTTCCACCGCTCAGTTCATCGACTACAGTTAGACTAGAAATGAAATCTAAGAGTAAGGCCAATCCACATTTTATCCAAAATCAATACAGGCTGTCAATCAACGAAGACGCACCGACTGGAAGCGTGATCACGAATCTTATACCCAAGGCTATCGCTGAACAGGTTGACGTTAGTTCGAACATCGCTTTCGAGATTATCGATGGCAATGAGGATAGTTCGTTCGAGATCTCCTATCCGTCGGGTGCAATCCTCTTGGTGAAGCCGCTTGATCGCGAAACGATTGATTACTATGAACTACGTTTAGTTGTCACCGAACCGGGATCCACCATGATCTACAAGGGTATGAATATGTCTTCGGCTATTCGCGTGACAATTACCGTTGAAGATGCCAATGACAATGCACCTGAATTTCAGCCAGGTCCGTATGAAGTGGCGATTAGCGAAACGGCACCGATCAAGCATTCGATTGCACAGATCTCTGCCATCGATGCCGATTTGTTGAACTCTCCAAACTCTGAAGTCGTGTACCAGATTGTATCCGGTAACGATGGAGGATGGTTTTCAATTGACTTGATTACGGGACTCTTGTACATCAACAACAATCTGGACTACGATCGAGGACCAACGCAGTACAATTTGGTAATCCGTGCCTGTGACAGTCATGTCCTGCCAAAGTGTAGCGTGCATCCCTTCGTGATCAATCTCACGGATGAAAACGATAACGAACCGCAGTTCCCCGTTCCGGAGTATCTTGAGTTCGTTGGAGAGAACGAACCGATTGGAATCAGCATATTCACGGCTCGAGCGACCGATATGGATCGGGGAGAATACGGTCATGTGAACTACTCGATCGATAATGCACTGACCGGTAGCTACTCCAACGTTGATGATGGTTGGAAGTTGTTCAAAGTAGATTCGGTTTCCGGAGTGATCAACTCGAATGCAGTGTTTGACTACGAGGAGAAGAACCGATACTCGTTCACGCTAAGGGCATCGGATACGGGCGGAAAATCAAAGACAGTTAAGGTTCGCATTATGATCGAAAGCAGAGACGAGTTCAGTCCACAGTTTACGGAGAGGACGTACAGATTTATTTTGAAAACGCCGGATACGGGCCATCTCCCGGTCGGATATGTGGTAGGACATGTGACGGCTACCGATCGGGATCGAGGGCCAGACGGCAGGATCGTTTATCAATTGACCAAGCAGCATCCATACTTCAAGATGAATAGAACGACGGGAGCGATCTTGATTAAGAAGAAGCTGGATGACGTGGCAGCCTCCCTGGAAGCTGGAAGGGACATCAGTTTGGTTGTGACGGCAAGTTCCGGCCGGCAAGGATCGCTCACCAATATGACTGTGGTGGAGATTTCGATCGATACGCTTGGCCACGTGAAAGGCGGCGATGGCGGTGGAGAGTACGGAAGTTCAGAATCTGTGTCCGCTAGCAATGGGTTGGCCAACTGGGCGTTGGGTCTCCTGATTTCTATACTATTGGTAGTCATTTGTGCAGCATCCGTATTCCTGTTCTTGCACATGAGAAATCGACAGCAAAAACACGTCAACAAGTCTGGTTTGAGCACGGAATCCGTTGGACATTCGAATAACTACGTAGATCCAAGTGCCTTCGATACCATACCGATTAGAGGCAGCTCGAGCAATACAAATAATGCCGGACAATTTGCACCCCCGAAGTACGATGAGATTCCTCCGTACGGAGCCAGTTCCAATTCAGGGGCTGCTACCACCTCCGAGCTGTCCGGATCCGAACAATCCGGATCAAGTGGACGAGGGTCGGCGGAAGACGATGGGGAAGATGAAGAAATTCGAATGATCAATGAAGGTGGTCCACTGCAAAGAGATGCTCTGCAGCTAGACGGTAGGTTATCGGATGTTTCCGTGCAAAATACGCAGGAGTACTTGGCAAGGCTGGGAATTGTTGACAACGCAACCACAGGTAATGCTTCCAATTCCTCGAGAAGGTGCTCGGAGAGTATAGGCTTGGGTAGCTCGAAAGACGCAATGCTCCACCATACGTTGCCGATCGATACATTGCACATGTTCGACGACGAACACCGAGAGTCAGACTTAACCAATCTCATCTACGCTAAGCTCAATGATGTAACGAACAATAGTGATCGAGCGAGTAGTGTAGACGAAACCGTGACCAATGCAGGCAGTATAGGTGCCGCCGTTGATCACGTCATGATGGGTAACTATGGAGATGTCCCGGTAGTCGGTGGACAGCAGGGCATCTCCATGAACGGTTCCCTCAGCTCAATTGTACATAGTGAAGAAGAACTGACGGGTAGCTATAACTGGGACTACCTGCTTGACTGGGGTCCTCAGTATCAACCTCTAGCGCATGTGTTTTCGGAAATTGCGCGCCTCAAAGACGATACTCTTTCGGTCCACAGTGGCAACAGTGGGACATCTAGTGCCAAAAGCAAAAACTCGCTTCATCACACCGTCAAAAATGTCCCACCGCCACTGTTGACCAACGTGGCACCACGGTCCATCAATGTACCGGTGTTTTCGGCCCGGGGCACCAGTAGTCACCACGGTCAACCACCCAACCAGTATTTGCTGCCAAGATCACCGATTAGTCATGATTCGGCAGCAGGTTTCAGCACCTCATCAGCTATGTCACCTAGTTTCTCCCCATCCCTGTCTCCCCTGGCAACCCGATCACCATCGATATCTCCGCATGTAGTTTCGACCGGTGTGCCAACATCCCATCACATGGTTTCGCTGCCACGGCCCCCCCAGCAACGGGGTCAGCGGAAGCCCTACTAAGTGATTTAGGAAAGTTTCCCCCCATATTAACGCACCCCACCCCCACCCACAATACATACCTAGTAGGAATGACATGGCTGTGTAGTTTAAACATAATAAAAGACTGTAAATAAACAAAATCAGTCCTCTCCTCTCCATGGCAACGCCGATCTGTACAGTTATTTCTTAGATTTGTACAGTTCCATGTTTAGCGAATTTATTTTAAATGGAAAACAATTTAGCCTGTAAGTTTTAACCGTTCACAACAAAGTGCCTTTCGAGTATACATATGATACAAACTAGCCTGTAAATAGACGGAGTTTTAGTGAAAAACTTTTAAATATCAACTGTATAAAGAAGCATTTGGTTCCAACGGAACTAGGTAGATTTTAAACGAATACACAAATGAAAATGCTACAATTACACAGAGCGAATACGAACCATCGAATTTTAACAGTTTTCCAATTCTACAAATAAGACTGTACATATCGTTTCTTGTTAATATTAGTCTACGTTTATTCCAATAGAGATAATCGGAGAAAATACTTTATCGAATTATGCCGTGTAAAATAAACCGACATGGATGTCAGCATTTTTGCGAGGAAAAGACTGTTAAGCAATAGAGCTTTTCGTTAGAGGAAATAGTGTGTATTTTAACAAAACTTCCAATTCCCTTTGAGCTGTAAAAAGTGAGAGAGAGAGGAAGCTAGCAGCATTTTATCGATGTAATGTGTTTTATTTTTTGAAGCGCTCGAAACGGATATCGCATTTTATTTGTCGAACCCATTTTAGCAGAAAGTGCAGGAAAAATCCATTACCATCCTGAAAATTTAAAAACACTAGATAAACAAATTTCATACCGTTCGAAATTGATTTTAATGTATTTATATTATTTTTTGCATAAAGGCCATATGTAAGCAGTGAAAGCGATGAAAGTTTTAAAAATAAACGTATTTAAAAATATTAAACATTTCAGGGCATTCTTTCTGGGATTTCCGAAAGCCGTCGATTCCTAAATTTAATATCTATTATTGTTGATATTTGTTCTCGTTGGTTACATAAATTGCTATTAGACAAGTATTTAATATCACATTTTCTGACACCAGTCAGCTTAGTCTACGGTTCTATAGGTTCTCTACTCTGCTACTCAACGGTGCATTTTTTGGTGTCGCTTTGCGGAACTGGTTTCAAATGTTTTATTTTTATTTAGTGGTTAACAATTGGTCCCCATGGTTTGTCATAGTGAACCTCAAATTCGTCATAATCGTCATTTTCATCATTTTCAAAAATCAATCATTTTAACGTAACCTTCTATTTTCTCGAAGTAAACTGATTAGCTTGGGATGCATTCAAACCTCGAGGGTGGGCCTGGATGGGACCTTCCCCTCTCCATCTAAAGTGAGCTCATCGTCTTCCCGGTAGGACTGCGGTCGATCCGCGTCAGTAAGCTTCAGTTCCTTTTTGGAAAAGTGCTCCACAATGGCGGCACAATAACAATCGCCCAGGAAGTTGTTGGTCGTGCGAATGCGGTCACTGAAAAGATAATACGAGTGAGTGGGAAACCAGATAAACAAAAGTAGATTAAAGGGTGCCATTATAAATACACTCACACAAACCAATCCACTGCAAATAATAGCGTCACATTATGCATCGGAGCATCGATTGCCGTGAGAACTACCAGAAGTAATACCAACGCTGCACTGGGAATGCTTGCCGAGCTCATCGAAGCCGCTGTCGAAGTCAAAACAACCGTCATAATTTGTCCGAAGTTCAGCTGCATACTACTCATTTGAGCAATAAAAATCGATGCTATCGAAATAAACAACGCCGTTCCATCCATGTTGATGTTAGCACCGATAGGAAGCACAAATCGTGTGATTCGAGTGTCGATTTTCACCTTATCCTCCATGCAACGGAAGGTCAACGGCAGAGCTGCCGCCGTAGAAGCCGTGGCAAATGCTGTCAGCATCGGCTGAATCAGCGACACGTACAACTTGAAGGGGTTCTTCTTCAAAAACATAAAATATATAAACTGTACAATCACCCACTGATACAGGAGCACCCCGAACAACACGGTGAAGATGAACCAGGCCAGTTGGGTCATCACCAAACTTATGTCACTCACGGCCAAAATCTTGCCTGCTATTACACTTCCGATTCCGATCGGGGTCAACCACATCACTCCGGTGACCATCTTCATGATGACGTCGAAAATTGCCGCAAAGAATTGAATCACAACATACCCCTTACTGCCAATCGTTCCCAACAGTGTTCCAAACACCAAACAGAAAAATACTATCCCAAGAGTATTGGTACCAGGCCGATATTCTATAATCCGTATCAATTCATCCTCGTCATCCCAAGCAAAAGCGTTGTGAGCAGTAGGTTTTGCGTTCACCATCGGAAGCACGCTGCCATTGATCGCATTAGACCTCGGCACGTAGACCGTGTGAGCTTGCTGGAGAGCCGCCTGGAATATGTTATCCGGGAAGATGTTCCTGAAACGAGTCCTCATAACGCTACTGAACACAGCAGTAAATCATCAAACACTCACCTGCCCAAATCCAGTATGCTATCCATCAACGTAACGGTTTTCCCGCTCGCAACCGAATACTCGGCCATCGCCTCGTGCATCCTGGGATCACCGGGGTGAATCAACAGCACCAACGTGGTGCCCAGTATGGCATTCAGCAACGAAGTCAACGCAAAGTAGACAAACGTCCGTAGGGCAATTTTCCCATTCAACTTGGCATTCAGGCTGGAAGATCCGCTAATCAAACTGGCAATTACCAACGGAAGGATCATCAGTTTCAGCACGCGCATAAACAGTTCGCCCGGGTAGGCAATCAGCATGATGGTGTCCTCCGAGAGTTCCAACGGGCGAAGGGTGAAACCTGTAAGATCGGAACGTTAACGAGATGGAACGGAAGGAAAGTAAGAAGCTCTGAACAAACAGAAAATTTCAAGATGAGCTAGGGTAATTTTCCAATTGTAGCAAAGCCAAGTACGTACTTTTTGTTATTTTGCGTTTTTAAGAGATTGAAACCGTTTTTGAAGTAGGAATTCCTCAAGAAACCTTTGAATGTGATTCATGAAGCATCAGCAATTCAAATTGGTAAAATCATTCTTTATAATAACATGTTTGAATGTCCCTCAGAGTTCAAATGTTGCATGCATCATTTGTATCTAATTATCTGCACTTTGTATCTAATTATTGCACACCCATAAAACATGGCTTAATGCCTCTTGGAATGACATTTTTCAACAAGAATAATCATTTTGTGATTCTGTTAGATGATTAAACGTAAGTTTTCGGTATGTTTACTTACAATATCAGGACTACATCTGTGATTTCTATATGGGGGTACACTTTGTGAAAACTTAAAATGGAACATGTAACGAAATTATGAAAGATTTTGAACGTTAATAACTCAGCTGCCCCTAGACCAATTTCAATAATTTTAACACCAATCGATCAGCAATATTTCTACGCATCAATAGCAATGCTTTCGATTGTTGATCAAGACAAGAAACTATTGAAAAATAGTAAATGTCAAGCATTGTCCAAAAGCGTCGAAATACCTAAAAATCCACCAATTACGTACATGCCTATGATGCTTCCCCAACTCAGTCATCAGCGAATCGTTTCTAGACGAAACATGTCGATGTAGCATTGCTGCTTCCCCAACACTGTCATCAAAGAGTCGTTAGTAGACGAAACAAGTCGAAGAGGCATTCGCCCCCGATCATCGGGCGTGTGCAAATAGGAAGGATGCAATTGCGTAACATTGTGCACACTCATCGCCATATTAAGAACCACACGCCCCCAACGACCACACAAAATGCTCTCTAGAGTTGTAATCTTGTAACCAGGGGTTGAAACTGTTGACGCTTTTTACTACACTCGCTTCGTTGTCGTGTGCGACAGTCTGCTTGTATTCGTACTCTCATGCTCTCCCGTCGTCTCTCTTACACAACACAAACGGTAGAACAACATTTGAGCAAAAAGAATAACTATCATATGACATGTGTGATTTTGTTCTAATTCCTCAATTTGGTGTAAATTAAACCATTTCTGATCAGAAATGTTATTACTAGGACATCGTTGCTTGCTATCTTCAGAATTCACAGAAGCACAGTATCAGCAGCTCTTATTATGAGAAAAACTAAAATACATACATTCGTGACGGTCTTCGGCGACAGTGTCGTGTGACAGAGCCTGTCATATGATATTTTAGTTTGGTACTGTTATTTGATAGCTTGTTTTGCAAGTGTCGGAAGCAAAGGCAGTCAATTATCACAGAAAATGTGTCGACTACCGTGACCGCTTAGAAAACTGCTTGTAACCAAACTTGGAAGCAGGGGTGCAGGTGATTTTGATCGATTATCTCCATCGATATTCTATTTCGCTAATAACTCGTCGGCAAACAAATTAATAAGCCGGCGCCGGTGGTGCAGTGGTAAGCGTGACTGCTTTCTCACCCCAATGGGTCTGGGTTCAATCCCAGCCGAGGTCACGTCACGTCTTCCTTCGGAAGGGAAGTAAAGCCGTTGGTTCCGGCCCTTGTGTGTTGAATGGGTAAGATATCGTACGCCGGTGTGGAAGCTGCCTTCCTGCACATTCGATTGCTGTCTATGGATGGCAATCGATGTCCGTCGATGATTGGCACTACATTGCGGAACAGAGACGGGCGTTAAATAAATGAATGAAGAAGAATGAATTCATTGATACTTTTGTTGTTCTGGATGATAGAAGAGCATAGAAGAAATAGTGCGAAATAGGTTAGTGAAGCCATGGTCATCAAAAGAGGAAATCGATGAAGAGAATTGACTTTCACCCCTTAATTCAGTCGTCGGCATAGCAATGAAAACTAGCATCGCACCGCTTTTGGTTCTTGGGGCTGGTTCCAATTCTGCTGTTCGACATTTTACACTATTTTCCAGGGAAACCTTAAAGTCCAATTATTCGCTTAACGATTAATCGTAAAGATTTATCCAGCTATTCGATTAAATATTTCTATACAGAGCTGGAAAATGGCCTATCTGCTTTGATCGATTCTCTTCATCAACCTTTGCTTTTTTGCTAAACACGACTATGCAAACAGTTTTCGTGATAATTTTGTCACATAGATTGATAAATGAGGTTTTTATCTATCGTCCATATCGTCAAATACAACAGGGAATGTTGTTGCAGCTGAGTTATTAACGAAAGAGAAAGTCGATGAAGAGAATCATCCCTTCTTATTTCTACTTGTACGACATCCCTTCTTATTTCTACTTGTTTTCTACTAGCGCAGCAGAGAAAATAAATAATAGGGGAAATGGCTCTAATGTTGGCCTATGGATCTAAGATTGGGCCCATCGCGAAAAATCTGCAATTTATCAATTTTATCTAGATGAACGCTTCATTGGGATAGTACTAATGGATATTTTTGGTCACTATTGAAAATTTAGTCGATTTCTGAATGTATGTTTAGGCCCAAATTAGGGTTATTTAGGCCGACATTACGTCCATTATCTGAACAGGCATAGAGTAGAACCATGACATGAAACAGGTTCATAAATTCGCCGAAAAAAGTGTTAAGCGTCTTTTTGCTAAATGCTAAGATTTACCAACTTGTTGAGAGAAGGAGTTTAACGAGAAAAACTACAAAGGGGGGCAGCTTTAGCTGGGTGGACACTGATATTCTGTGGCCTTCCAACCTGTCGCAGACACCAGTTCAAACCCCAGTTAAATTTCTGAACACGTCACATCTAGAATTCAAATCAAAAGGTTCTTTTCAGGGCAATCATAGTCATACTAAAGAGTATAAACAGAGAGAACCCCGCTCAAATTCCTATTCCTACACAAAATACAAGCTCCTACTGCAGTTAACAAATAACTTTTATTATATAAGACCACGTAGTCCTACGTCACCATTGCGTTCAATCCCATAGGGCTGTTCCTTGTAGTTTTACTGATTTTCAGATTTCCCCCCGAAGAACGCGTTATCCACTGAGTTCTACCCACCGCTTTGTCTCGGTGGTTTTTCAATCAAGCGCTCTAATTTTCTGCAAGTGGTTCTCCATTGATGCTACTCACATGCATAAAATCAGACCGACTGGTTGAAACCCCGCCGAGAAAAAGCGGTGGGTACAACTCAGTGGGTAACGCGTTCTTCGGGGGAAAGCTGTAATTGATGCGAAACAAAATATGCCCAGCAGTAGTTTTCTATGAAACGTTGCATACCTTCAGGTGTTATCGCCATATACAACAATCCAGGACCAAGAGTCCAATTATTGACCATTCATATGTTTTCTGAAATTTTTACAAGGTTGATAGATGTATTGATGCAATTGATCGTTCGATAAAAGAATAACCAACATTATCCCTTGAATATTACTTGATTTAAACTAATTTTGAGTTTGTAATAGCTTATTTTACAACTCAAGATTATTACCAGAAAAATTAGGAAATTGCCTGAAATCATATGAACAATATCAAAAATATTTAAAACATGTTTCATCACCATGTTCGCAATACTAAGTATCAAAAACACATCTTTTATCATTGAAAAATTGATCACTGATTAGAATATCATCATGATCGGAAAAGTTTATGGTCTTGACTAAACGCAATACAATGTGAATTATGCAACAATTGGGTGGTGTGCAACAATAGGCAAATTACCCTAATTGTGCAGTCAACCTAACTGCCGCTCATGGCAAGTCGGTCCCATATCACAAATCAGCATGCCGAGAAAAACGCGTTTTATGTTTACTTCGCACTATTGCATCACCCGTTGTTCAGTTTTTCCAAAGTTTTCCAGAACAAAGATGTTTTGACAAATATACAAATGTGTCTGACTTGCGATGAGTGACCGATAAGTATACTGTTAGGTACTGGCAGTAATCCTATACACTTAGATTATTTTACAGGAGTCAGTATTTTTATTATGGGTTTTTGAAATGCTGACAAAGTCGGTATACATTAAAATGACCGTTATCCATTAGGAATCCATCAGATCGACAAATTTTATTATCTATCGTTAATTGGAATTAACAGAACTAAGTCTGTACAAGTTCGGAATAAATTTTCTCATTTTTGTATTTTCCGTAGATTTCGAAACTTTTACCGAATAATTCAGCATTTCAAAAGCCCAGTTAATCGTTACTGATTGGATTAGTGTGTACATCGCTTGCATAGCTTATAGGATTTTTTGAGAAACGACGAGTTCCGTTTTTGTCAACATCGTAATTGACCGTGAGCTCAGTAATATTTAAGGATATAGGCTCAAAAACCGTTGAGATTAAGTTCGATGGTCTACAATAACGTATTCAACACTGTAGTCTAGAAGCAGGTTCGAACAATTTTCTTGAAAAGCACGGATAGCGGAACTATCAATCTATCCTCTTCAGAACTTTCTCTAGCTAATAAATTATTGCACTTAAGCTGCATGTAGCCAGGGCCGGTGGTGTAGTGGTAAGCGTGACTGCTTTCTCACCCCAATGGGTCTGGGTTCAATCCGATGACTATCATGCGGCCAACATAACTTTACCCTCTGAGTAGCTCGAGTTACACAAAATTCAATACAAGCAGACTCAGCAACCATCTTTTTGCCCAAATGCACGGCGTGCAGATTTTAACTAGAGAGGGTCTAGTAGAAGGTCTGAAGATCTAGAGAGGAACAGACTGGCTGGTTTTGAGCCAATCGAGCAGCGCCTATCTTGATTGCATTGGCAGTGTTGCTAGAAACCACCCAGGCATAGGTTGCCAAGGCAGTTTGTTTTGAATCCGCTCCTCTCTTATACTAGACCCTCTCTAGTTTTAACTATACGAAAATATGTATTCTGGAAAAACTTGCTTGTACACTATAACCCGTTGTAATTTGTTGCCATTATGTTTGTTGTAAAAAAAAAACATGCAGATGATGTAAGAAATACCACTTGTGGTACCAGAAAGGCACTTGTAGGTGGATTAAATAGGATTTTTCTAATGTTTCTATTTCAGGTTCTCAGTGCATCTTTTCTGCTATATTTCCATTCTGGACTACTGTGCACAGCTAACGATCTACTTATTACACGGAACTGAAAGTGCTACGCAGTTTTAGCTGCAGATTAGTAAACAACGAATTAAATTTTCAGATAAGCATGATTTTTGAATGATGAAAATGCGAAGTGGTGGAGCAGATAAGGTCTACCCAGTAATCTGGTTTTACGGTACATTAAGCAAAGTCAACTGTATACTTACCCAGAACTACGCCAAGCAATACGCCACTCAGAGTCACCAGGATCAGTTTGTTCTCGGACACGAACCGCATCCAGGCTGACTGCGACTTCACGGTAGGAGTGTTCCGTTGGCTTTCGCCCTTCAAAAATTGCTGCTCACTTTGTGCCATCCCATTCGCTGAATACGTTTCAGAGTAATAATTAAACTGTATAAAAATAAAACATTGAAAATAAATCACCTAAACACTTTCAACAGGAACAACTACTGAATTCGAAACGGATTGTAGCCGTTAAGCACCCTTCGGGATACTTAGCGCGCGCTGAACTGACCATTTGCGCTCAATAATAGCTCATAGACACACGACCGTGGTTGACACGCGCCCGTCCGGTCATCATCCGCAATTTCCATTTCAATGATGTTGACTGCGAAATGATCCTACTACAACCGTATGTTGCTCTCACATAACTGTCACGCGTACCGACAAATTAGCCTGGTATGGTTTTCATGTTTGCAAACAAAAATTAAATTAAACCTAATCGAGTGAAATGTGCGACCACAATTGCAATCAATCAGAGCACAAGCAACGACTGCGATCGGCGTACCCTATCTAGTTCCAGATGTGTATTTAGATGAGTGTTGGCCTACAAACAGACCAACAATAAAAGCCCACTTGATGAGTTTATTGAAAAGGACACCGCACTGCCTGTTCATTCAGTCGTGGAACTTTCCACCAAGAGACAATGTTTCTAATCAATATAATAAACGAAGTTGTAAGTCATGTCGACATCTAACGAAAGAATCAGAAATAGATATTATCTAAGTTAATGTCATCCTCTTCAGATAACAGGTACACGGGAATGTCATCGCCCCATTATGCCCGATTGAACATTATGCTGAACAGCTGATCCTATAACGAGTTATTAAGTAAACAAACAACAATTAATTACCACCTGACTGAACTCTCACGACGGGTGACACAACCTAGAAGAGTAATTCAATTTATTATCACGTGCGATAAAATTTCCACCGAGTGACGGACTGTGAAAATACCACCCCTTTCTCAACAATGTCTCGGCGATGGTGATGGCGAAATGGCGATAATTACACATCCTAGCAAGCTAAGAATAGATGCATCACTTAATATTATTCCTGATTGCTGCGATTATATTCCCATCAACAGTGTTATTGGCCTTTCACTCTTCGAGGAAGAAATGTATGTAGGGCCTGCTATGATTTAGAGCAAGTCGTTGCTTCTACACGCGAAGTGCATTCGCTCTCGTTCTCTCAAGCTATACCTGTATCTGTGCAACAGAATATCATCTTTTGACGTACGACGGCTAGCACGTGCTGTATCCTCATCTATCTACATAGTCTATCCTGGGGTAATAAAAGTTTAAATTCACCCTCAAGTCTCCCGTGAAGGTGCTTATCGCTATCTATATCTAATGGAAGCAGGCGTTCTTGGGCCCTTCCTTGTCAATTTATTTTTGCACCCGGTACTTTTCCATTCATCCTTAACCTTTTCGGAATGGATATTTCGGCTATCGGTGTTAAAGCTACCGGTGCCTACACCCTTAATGGTAGGCCAGCTTTTTCGCGTTGTTGACAGGGTTAAGATAGAACGTCGCAATTTTTGTGTATTGCTTTTCCAATCAAGGAAAAATGCAGTGTCAGTCGTGTTTAGAAGAGGAATGTATAGATAGGCTCATTATTGCAACCACGGTGGAAGGCATTATGCATAGTGTAAAATGTAAACCACGTAAACACTCTGCCTGGGACAATGGGCCATGAGCTTACGGATGGATGGTTCGGGAAAATCGATATCAAACGGTGTTATTGTTTATTTCAGGCTCGACGACTGCGATTGTGGGTGTTGAATGCTTTAACAAGTTTGTTTTCATGGGACAACACACGATGATTGATTGATTTGCTGATTGAACTGTTCGGCAAATATACACGTGAGATGCCTTCCACGATCACATTTGACAACTGATACATTATTTACAGCTGTAAACACTAATAATGTATGGAAGAGGTATTCCAAATTACTAAACCAATTTCAAGCGCACAATGCACTCTGGCCTTAAACGGTAATTTAGCGGGACTAAATTATTTACTCCATTTCTATTCATGTAACCCCCCAATTACTGTATTCGAAAAAGTTTATAATTAAATGTTCCTTCTTTTTATAAAAAAAATACGATTAGGGTGGTCCTCATTTTACCTTAAAGCAGGAATCTAACTTTATTGTTTTAACATGTAGGTGGTTACATGCCTCGACAAAGTTGTAGCAAACACTATTTCAAGCCACTTTGATCAAGACACCATTTTCCTAGCTCTTCATTTGACTTATGGGTTATTCCAGCTCAAGTGGGTATACCACCTGTGGTCGCTGTCACCGATTTGAGCCAAAATTGGCCAAAACGCTTATGTTGGCATTCTGAACAAACGCCTTTTTTGATTTTGCTTTAAAGTGCCCAGAGCCTTCTGGGCTACAACCCTGGATTTTCGAGATTTTTAAAATTTCAACTTTCAGTTGAATTTAAAATCAGTTCAAAATTGACTTATACAGCTAATTGTTGCCTATATAAGCTAGTATGCAATTAAAATTGTTTGTTGGGACCGTAAAGCAGATATTTTAGCACGGTGTCATCAACAAAGTTGCTTGAAATACAAATACAGTCATGTCCTGATTTTATCAGCCCCTTCACGCATCAGACTTTGATTTTTTAATAATTACCGTAATTCCAAATTTTTCTAATTCATCTTCAAGATGGATGTTTAAGGCAAACTTGCAAATGCCATATTACAGCTAAAATGCTATTTTTCGGATTTATGAATCTATGAAATATTTTAATGGTAATTCTTATTGACAAGATGCAAGAAGAGAAGGTAAAGTATTAGTATTAGTATTAGTATTAGAAGGTAAAGTATTAGCTGTAACGATGAGCTGATGAGCGAGCAATCAGAGATCATAAAATCGCTAGTTGTGACCTCCTGAAAGCAAAATTGATAAATTGTGTATGTCATACACAAACTTTACCACCCATTCTTGTTTCTAACAAATAAAAATTATCATTATAGAATCTCATAGTTTCATAATTCCAAAAAATTGCATTTTAGCTGTAATGAGCAATTGCAAGCCTGGTTTAAGGTATAGTTTGGTGGAGTGTACCCCATTAGGCATAAATACGTTAGGCATACGGAGGTTAGGCATACGGACGTTAGGCATAATGGACGTTAGGCATAAAGTCATTAGGCATAATGGAAGTTAGGCATAATATACGTTAGGCATAATGGACGTTAGGCATAAAATACCTTGCTGCTGTGCAACTCTAGAAACCTGTTTCGACATATTTACTTAGATCCAAGATTAGTAGCGATAGTGATTAAGTAATCTGGCAATGAAAACTCAGCATAGTTATATCAGTATATCTTGAAATCAATCGCATATAGAAATAAAAAATCACACATTTGTTGTAATATATTCCTACACACATATTGCAATTGTCAAAGAATAAAAGGTTTTCCTCAAAGAACAGCTCATGAAATAAAGAATGGTGAATTCTGTGATTTTTCATTCAATAACAAAAAAACAGCTAAGGTTGAATAAAATATGATGCCAAAGAACAGCTCATGAAATAAAGAATGGTGAATTCTGTGGTTTTTCATTCAATAACAACAACAAAAACATACCTGCTGCTTCCAGGATTTGCTGCCATACTTTTCGATACAACGCTTCTGTTTTTGTTGTCATCAGAATGAAAACCAGCGGAACCGTCGGCTGATGGGAGGGAGCGATACTTCCATGAACAGGACGAGTTACCGAAACAAACAAGGAACTGTGGCAAACGTACCATCTGTAACCCAATACTTTGCCTGCCAAGACGTCGCAAGTTTTCATGAGCTCCAAAAATTAAGGCTCTTTCATTATTGTCACTGAAGTCAGCAATCAATAGACGGTCCCCATTATCATCCTTCTGGAATTCATCGGGTAGATTATGCTTAACGTCCATTATGCCTAACGTCATTTATGCCAAAAGTCCGTAAGCCTAACGTCGTGTACCCAGTTTGGTGCAATGGAACCACTGAAAAGGCGCATGGGTTTCGTAGAATTTAAGAAAAGATTTTCAAAAAGAGGGCTTACAAAACTATAATTTCAAATCAGAGATCAAAATTATCGCTGATGTTAGAAGAGAACCGGCTATTTTCACCCGTATAGAGAATGAAAAGCTAAAGCGAAGAGCGAGAGAACTTTGTTCAAGCAAAGCAATTCTCACGAGAAAAGTAGCCATGATAATTTTTGCTCACTCGGTAGTGACAGCCGACAATTTCGTTTCCTTTTCGGCATTCCTTTTCCGGTGATTTTAATTTTTCACCCTTCCCGAGAACCCGGTTTTAAGTTGTCTTCAGACAAAACCGATCTTGTGTCGTACGCGAATGAATTTGCGGCGGTATGAGAGAAACAACCATAGTACTCAATGATTCGTTCATTTATGTTTTTTTTTACTAGGGTACATTCAAACCGCAGCACAGTGGGACGAAATCAAAAGAAGTGGATCATGGCCATTTGTTGCGAAACTATTGAGTTAAGTATTTTGATGTCTTGTAGAATGTTAGTTAAATTTTTGAATACTTTATTTGAGTTATATTTTTTTTACTTAAGCGGGGTATACGCTAAGATAAATAAAATAACTTTTTTATGTCTCGTTAAAATCGATGAACATCTATGGAAACATTTTTTTTTTTTATATCTTTATTAAGGAGACTTTCAGCCCTGGGCTTATGGAAACATTGTAGATGGCATCATTTTAAGAAACTTTGTTCAACATGACAATTTTCTATCTCTCAACTGGAAGGTATAGGGTCAAAATGGAGTACAAGCGGTAGTACCCCCTTAAATACCGTTTTTTTACCATAACTTTTATGTTTGAATTTTGCAATTTTTTCAACGTTCTACAAAGTTGTAGGTGCTGGCTTTAAGGATTTACATCCGTTTATATATTTGGGGGTGTATCTAGCAGGTTAGCCGATATTAGCAGCTAATCCAAATGTTATTTTGTTCAGCATATTATACCCTACTGTTACATACACAATTCATATCCAAAGGGATGCCTAATGAATTTTCTAATAAAGGACCTCAATGCTTTGTTACGTTTTGCTGATTTTTTTTATATCTTTATTAAGGAGACTTTCAGTCCTGGG